AACTTTTATATATTCTACTTTCCCAACAACCTGAAGGATTAGAATTACCCATGGAAAAGTTCGATAAACCTTCATTTTCGGAAAATAGGCACAATATCTGCATACCGGTACACCGTATTTCAATGTAGATATTGTGTCTATTTTCTGTAAATGAAGGTTTACCGAACCTTTCCAGAGGAAATTCTAATCCTTCAGGTTGGGAAAGTAGAATATGTATGTAGGCAAGCCGAGGTTAGTTTATTTCATTGCATCAGTATTTCACCTGATGAAGCTACTGTGTTAGCGAAACATGTCGTGTGATTGAAAATTTTGTGAAAATCTTATCGTTTGTGAAGTTTTTACAATCGCTGATGTTGTTAGATTCCATCCAGAGAAGAGTCATTCGCCTGGGGGGGGGGGTGATGCCACACTCATCATCAACTATCTGACATCATTGGAACACTGTCACAAAGTCGACCTTTCACCACATAGAAATGTTCTTCAGAAATCTCTGATATCATTCCATCACTAGTACTTTCGTTTTTCGTTGTCATCCTTGAAATTTGTCGAACAGCTGATATCAAAACGAACTAAAAATCTCCAAAAGTTGAAAAAAATGCCAATACACCCTATCCTCCCTAGGTACGCAGGATGTTCTTTGAACAATAGGGATTTCTTTTCGGCGCATCATGCGATTAAACAAAATTTATACTTTGGACATTACATATCTGTGCTACTACTGCTACTAGTCTGAATATTGGAAATCTGCTCGTGTGAATTATTGTGTTCATAATTTCTATACAGTCATCGTAATACATAACATCAGTTACATCACTGACAATGGAAATGATCCCTAGCATTCTAAAGACTGTTATCAGAAACAGCATTCGCTATTCACATTGTATTTGATGTGGTAGACTTCGTTATCCGCATTTAAGTGTAACTAGGTTAGTGAGTTTTATATCCGTTGGATATGTAATTGCTTTGGAAGGCAACCTCTTTTATTTTCTGCCGTTTAAGGCAAGCGCTTATCTGTATCAGAGTGTGAAATAATCATGAACATAGGTAGGTACTTGTTCAGAACGTGTGCTCTGAAATGTTCCAGATGGTTGTGTACCTAACCGACAGTTCGTTTGAAAACTAGGGTGGTCAAAAATAGTAGATTGTTTTATTAGGATCAAAAGTGACACTTTGTTTGACAAGCGAATTTTGCATTTGCGAGGCGGAGCGTTCAGCGAAGCCGGTTGCAGAAAATAGTAGATTGTTTTATTAGGATCAAAAGTGACACTTTGTTTGACAAGCGAATTTTGCATTTGCGAGGCGGAGCGTTTAGCGAAGCCGAGCGAAAGCAAAATTTGCGAGTCGAACAAAGTCACTTTTGATCCGAATGAAACATGCTATTTTTTCTGCAACCGAAACAATTAACTCAAATAAACATGTGAAGTAACCACCAATGCCGTGCCATATGTATGCAATGCAACAAATATTGACAAATAATCCAATGTGGTGAGAATATTCTACCTGCATTAACAGCAGGTTAGGTTTTCTAGGATGTTCGAATTGTAGTTTCAATATAAATACAACCACAGAGTGACATATATTGTGTATGAACCAAGTGCTCTAATGGCAAATACCGTGCCAGTGCCAGCTATAGTAACAAGACGTGGAAAATGTTAGGTTAGTGAGCATATCAACAATGATAATAATGATTATTTATTCCTCTCCATACTACACTGTGTTTGATTTGATGATCAAAATGAAGCTAAACAATATCGTTGTTTGAGACAAAAAAACTATTGCTTGCCGTGATTATTCAAAAACAAGTTATCCATCCCGAGAATAACGAATGAAATACAGATCAAGCAAGTATTTGAATCTTGAAAGCTTCCCTGATCAAAACAAAAATACTTAACTGAGATGTTTATAATTCCAATACTATAATAAGGTGTATTTATATCTCCAGCATGGGTATGAAATGACAAATCTGCTGAAATCGGAAACAAATCAGGTATGCGTCTCATCCCAAATAACCAACTGTCACAATGTTGTTCATTCTTGATGACGTCCAGTACATCCTTTTTAGTTCCTAGGAGCTAAAGTTCAACTTTAGCTCCTAGGAACTAAAATTCAACTTTAGCTCCTAGGAACTAAATATGTTGCCTAGCAACATACCTATTTTTGTGGCAGTAATAGAAACGTCAATTTAAGAGCTAATTTTGGTATCAAAATGGACGACTTTTGTGTCGGTTGCAGAAAAACTTGTTTCTCCGGCAACCGACACAAAAGTCGTTAATTTTGATACCAAAATTAGCTCTTGAATTGGCGTTTCTATTACTGACACAAAAATAGGTATATGTTGCTAGGCAACACATTTAGTTCCTAGGAGCTAAAGTTGAATCACAAGTACCGAACATGTTTGGAAACAGCTCATTTTTATTACTCTAAACACATAGCAAACTACGGGGTGTTACATTTAAACCCATCGCCGCTAGACAATAAGTATTTTTGATAATACTATTGATTCAACTATTAAAGAATGTTACTCGTTACTTTATGAGCACACATGAAACTATTGTATTTTTGTCCACGCTGTACCAATTGGAATCAACATGTGATACATTTTTGGAATCAGCTCAGCTAGAGTTATCCGAAAATTGAGACATAATGGGGGTGTTCCATTTAAAAAAAATGATGGTGACGGCATTACTCGTACGTAATTCACCCTGTATATCAGATTATTATTTTTAAATACGGTAAATTAACTTGAAAAATCGACGTGTTTCAGGATTATTTCTTAAAATTACCTGTTTAGCTAAAAATGAATTTGTTCCATACATTATGGACACACTGTATGATCAAGGGTATAATTGAGTATTTTTGTTTTGATCAGGAAAGCCTAGTTGAAAAACTTGTTTTTGAATAATCACGGCCAGCAATAGTTTTTTGTCTCAAACAACGATATTGTTTACCTACATTCGATTATTAAGCCACACACAGTGGAGTATGGAGAGAAATAAATAAGCGCTATTATTATTGTTGATGTGCTCACTAACCTAACATTTTCCACGTTTTGTTCCTATACCTGGCACTAGCGCGGTATTCGACATTAGAGCACCTATATAGTCCATACACAAATATGTCACTCTATGGTTGTATTCATATTGAAACTTCAATTCGAACATCCTATTTGTTGCATTGCATACATATGGCACCGCATTGGTGGTTACTTCACATATTTATTTGAGGTAATTGTTTCGGTGGCAAAAAATATAGCATGTTTCATTCGGATCAGAAGTGACTTTGTTTGACTCGCGAATTTCGCATTTGTGAGGCGGAGCGTTTAGCGAAGCCGAGCCAACAAAGTGGAACGTTTTATCCTAATAAAACAATCTACTATTTTCTGTGACGGTAAAAAAGTTTGACATTTCATCTATGTTGACTTTTGTCCCGGATATTTTGTTGTGATAGTTCCGGAAAATAAGCCAATTACACCACCGTCTCCGAAGAACTGCAAGTAATTTTATCTTCCATCCCATTTCGCGGTTAGGTGAATCACTAAACAACCACTGAGTTCGCATTTTTTCAAAATCAAATCACAGAATTAAACTGACAGATATTTGATTACTTCAAAAGAATGATGAATATGCCTGCAAAAAGATGCCTGCAACGCAGGTGTAATTCCTGTTAAATACTTGAAATCTCACGTAGATAATTTTCTGATTTTAATATAATGTGATATTTTCTCAATGTTGATTCGTCCTTTTTCCTGTCACAGAGAGAAATAGTGTATTATACACGAAGAAAATATTGGATTTAAGCTCTCCGCTACTCGTTGGAAGACAAAACACAACCTCGAGCAAAAATCTACATTTTTTTCTTCTTGTACATATATATGATGAATAACTATTAATCGATTTAATTGAGCCGAGCAGCATGGTATCATATCTATGTCCAGCTCCTTTTACATCTTCTCATCAATCATGAGCTACTATAGAAATAGAAATTTGATCAGGATATTTATCGGATATTTATAAACTAACAACGTTATGAGTTTGAGTTATTTATGGAATCCAGTTCGATTTCCTGAACAGATGAACTTTTACAAGAGCCTATATAAAGTTTACGAAGCATTCCCAAAGCTCACCTTCTCATTTCTTGAAAAGAGTTATCTGATATATTATGTTCTTGAGTATATAACTTTTCATGCCCGATTTGGAAAAGATGAGAATTTTCTGAAATTTAGATCGGGGGCGTGAAAAATAGGTGGGGCTAGGGGCATTTCTTCCCTCAACTTTTTTCTATGCAATTTCCGGTAGTTTGACCAAGAAAGTTGAAAATATCATGATTTTTACTCAAAAATGATACTCTTGTTTAGTTCCGATAGCACTCACCATTTTCGATATGAATCGATTTTAAATGGCTGACTGCGTAACAAAAATAGTGCTTTTACCTATCGATAGGATACCAAATTTTCCCAAGAACTATCATTGGAAACTACCCTTTTTTCAACATTCATCAAAAATAATGAATTGACAAATGTTAGAATCGATTTATCTTGAAAGTGGTGAGTGCTATCGAATCTAAACAAGGTTATCATCTTCATATTTGCTGGTCAAACGCAGAAAATTTTAAAAAAAGTTTGGGTAAGAAATGCCCCTAGTCCCACCTATTTCCGACGCCCCTGATCAAAATTTTGGAAAATTCTTAACATTTCCAAATCGGGCACGAAAAGTAATATACATGTACAACATTTCGTTAACTCATCACAGACAGTTTCGGAAATATTTACAAGATGTCTATAACTCCACAGGGGGCATTTTCTGGGCTCATATTTATATGAATTTTCACCACTATTTTTGTACCTACAATCTGTGGTTGAAATCTCTCTATGAAATTTCGGAGCACCCTGTATATCCCTTCATAGGAAACATTCGTAAGATTTTGGCTCTTTTGACCATTTGTTTAGCGATTTAGATCCTGGGTTTGGTATGTGGATGATATTGATAACGTTTTTGTTTCAGGTTCCAAACTGATTTTGAGAAGTGTCAATGGTGAATTCAAATCTGGTCAGTTACACGCCATCTTAGGACCTTCAGGAGCAGGCAAAAGCACTTTATTGAATATTTTGGCTGGTTACAAGTAAGTTGACTGAGCTCTAGCACTAATAAACGATGAATGAGAGTCTCTATGTACACATTTGACCTCTCATTGTGAATACGCGAACTACTTTCTAAAGTGCTTCTATAAATATGAAATGAGACCCTACTCTCACCTTATTGTAATAGATCTTCTTTATTCACTATCCGAGGGTAATTGAGTTCTTTCATCAAGTAACTAGCTTTGCTGATAGTCCAGAAATCGATTATTTTTCGCCAAAACCAATATCAGTTGAGATAGAGAGAGAGAGTGAGTATGTGTTTATTATCTAAGATACAAGACCTTATTCACAAACACTGGTGAAAGAAAACATGAAAATAATTACATTCAAATAAATATGAAATTACAAAATAATATGAAAACAATACATATAAATAATTACATCCGCGAGATTAACCCGTCGGGTTGAGGCTCGGGTGAGGCTTCACAATCCTTCGTGGTCACTTTGGAGACCTGCAGAACATCTCTTTCCAAAGACTCGTTCATCCAACGAACAGCGAGGCTCTGGAACACATTGCAAAGGGAGGCATATAACCTCCAGAAATTCAAGAAGAACACCAATTCCTTCCTTATTTCCCTTGGTTCTGACGATGTTCTCTGAACATTACAGGATATCCTTTTTCGTGGGAACCAGAACATGAAAAAAACGTCATTAAAATATTCTGTCAAATTATAAAAGGTTTTAGATTTCAGTCTTTCATGTAGGTAGTTTGTTTCTAAATGTTTTAAGAGAATCCAAGTTCTTCAATCCTGCAAGTAGTCTATTATACATTTTGACAGCATTGTGAATTATCGAGTCTTTAATCAATGTGGATTTAGGAATGACTAATGATAGATTCGATGCATTTTTATAACTATATTTATTCTTGTAAATGAGACATGTAGCTTCTAAAACGTAGATTGATAGTGTCAATATTCCGGGTCTCAGGAAAAGAGGTTTGCAGCAACTCAGCCTATTTACTTGGCACAAATACCGCACCGCCCGTTTCTGCAGCAAAATTACACTCTCAAAGAATTCATCACTGCATGAACCCCAGAACTGAATTCCGTACCTCAAGTTTGACTCCATGAGAGCAAAGTAAACATTTTTTGCCGCAGCATAACCTAATTCATTCGCTGTAGACCTGGGGGCAAAACATCCTGATGATAATCTTCTGTTCAAGATGTTAATGTGACTTGTGAATTTCAAATTGGTGTCGATGTCGAGTCTCAAGAATTTTAGTATCAGCGTTCGCTCATACATGTATAGTATATTAAAAAAAGCACGAAATGGACCTACCTAGTAGATATTCTCAACATTAGGAATAAGAAGTTGAGATAATGTGAAACTAATGGCCATACACAAATGTTAAGATCAATTTCATCATTATATTTTCTCATGTCTGAGGCAGAGATAATTGTATTATGATGTAGGCGAAATGTTCGGAATAAATTGGGACAAGCTGAATCACACTCTCCATGAATCTTGTAGAGGCACAATAAGTAGGGTTAGTAATACCTGAATCTATACTAAGTCTATGGGAAATAGACTGAGTTACGCAATTGATTATTTCGTCTATTTGTGTGTGCATTGTTTAGAGTTTCTGATTTTTTAATGATGAGCAAGTGACGTTTCATTGATTGAACGCAAATAAGTGCTCCGGCATTATTTTTCCTATAGAGATTTCCATCCAGTTGATGATAGATAAAAAGATGGATTTTGACTTGTTGTTTCTTCACCAATTTTGTGTAGTCATACAGTTGAGAAGTCCAGTTTCAAGACACTCCAAACCGTTTTGTGACAATATTGATGAAACACTGAGGAAAAATGATGACTCTAAAGCGGCTTACCTAGTTCTCAATTCTTCAACGGGGTTTGGAATAGGTATTTTATTGATTGAGTGAGTTCATCGTGAAATCTAACTCTATACCTTTTCAACTACGAGATAGCCACCATACTCAAAGTGGAATGAAAGATGTTTTCTAACCCTCTCGGATACAAAACAGCTTTTTTTCTCAAAGCGACAGGGATAGTGGCTTTTTCCTGCTGCTCAACAGGCAGAGAAGGTGTCTAGGCAGAAAAAGTTTGTTGCTAGGCAACGTTCTGAGAAATTCTAATAAAATGAGTAATCAAAATTGACACTGACATTGGGTGAACACAAAATGATGAAGTTTTCAATACAAAAATTACACAAAATTGGTTTTATATCATTTGGAGAAAAAATTCTATGTTTCACACGGCAGCAAATGTAGATTGACTGCGCTGATAGTTCATAGCCGAGCGTAGCGAGACTTGGAATTCAGCCAACTTTTCTGCCTAGTTAAACAAATAACTATTTTTATTTATCTATTCCTTTTGAGGATAATATATCTGTATAATATTTGTTGTACTTTCACGTTCATGAGCTTGTAGTTTTGGCATATCACTGATAAATATGACTCTTAATTGACATAACAACAATTACATGAAGGTGGAAAAAGTTGAATTATATGAAAAAATAGATGAGAAAAGATGCTCAGAATCAACTCGACGTATAGTCTTCAGCAATACATTATCCGAAATAATTGACAATAGCTATTCTTTCTCGAGTATTCTATCATCTCTTAATTCGACGTTTCTCTGAATAACTTCATTGTAATGAAACAATAGTTATTGGAGTACCATATATCATCACAATATTCGTAAAATTCTGATTTAACTAACTTAGATATATACGAACCAGAATAACAAATATCAGTAATAATTATCAAATCTTTGTTAACGTCAAATTTGTTCATGATTATTCATCAGAATCGTACCTGATTCTTTGCTTTATTTATTAACAATGCATTATTTAATACTGCTATATTTGTTTATTGTGAACACAATTATTTAATAATTAACAATTCATCTTTCACGCTGATTTACGCAGTGATAATCAATAAGATATTTAAATTTATAATGACAATTTGTTTTGGTAATAATCAACGATGATACAGTGTCTGTTAATAAATATATGTGTTTCTTTATTATGATACATTTTTTTTATTATATAAATCCAGGTAATATAAACGATAACAAGCTCTGGAATTCATTGCCTGTGGAAGTATTCCCAACAACATATAATCTCCAAAAGTTCAAAAAAAATTCCGATACCTACCTCCTGTCCCTATCCTCCCACGATGTTCTTTGAACATTATAGGGATACCCTTTCGTGTGCTCCAAGCGATAAAAAAATGTATTCTTCGTTTGGTAATTATAATAATTCATTTGGTAATAATTGAAATACTGTCATGCGCGTGGGCCATCATTTTAGTAGAGCTTCCATCTTGTTGATTTCCTTGTGGTTTCGACCATCACAAAAGACGTGAAGTGTGATGGTTATATATAAGTTTGATCCGTTATATGACAGTGCGGGTTTGTTTATATTCATATAGACATGTATATTATATTCGTCTATGTAATTTGCTTCTTGGGATAATTTCATATACGACATTTCATATGAAAAAAATGACAGACGCCTATCAGTGCATCTATTATACTACCTCCATTTAGTGTGTTTTCAAAAGAACTGGTGCATGTGGTACTAATCAAACGGAAAATTTTGAACGCGCAAGTAGGTGTGAATATACCTGGTGCATTAGTATTTTCTTTATTATTTGCTTTGCATGAATTTGAAAGAAAGTAATATGGGTATCATTGAGGGTCGTTTGCGAAATCATATAAATTGAACGTAGGTATGCCATCATAGCTGAGAGCTGATGAGTTATATTATAACAGGTTCATACGCAACCAGCCCTGAATAGTTTGGTTACCTATATACTTATATAAATAATATTCGTTAACTGTTACTGAATTTGTTATTGATATTAAGCGTAGAAACACCTCCTCGGGGTGATTTACGACTTGTCATAATACATCAGGAAATTTAATAAAACAATAAGCAATTAATCTGAAGTGAAGACATTGAATATCGTTAATTTATATCAGCGAACAAAATATTTGTTCATTATCAATGAAGGGTTTATCTTCATGGTGTCCATATATGAATAAATATTTGGTTACTGAAAACAGAGATTTTGTAATAATGAATATCGTTTGGTGTGGGCGAAGAAATATATATTCTTAGATGAGGCTCATTCATGGGGGTATGTGAACAAATAATTCGTTTTTTCCAAAATGAACAAATAAGCCATATTTCAATAAAGGATTTGGTAACAGTTGATCATATTTATTCAATTTAACCAAACTGTTCTTTCAGTGTTCTGTCGAAAGTGATCACGTGACATGTCTCACAGCACTCGGCAGACACTGTTTGTATATGAATTTTGAAATGTTGTATGAAAGCTTCAATGACCATTATTCGCTGAATTATACGTTGACTCAAGCTGACTATATACTTTAATTGGTGTTTCTAATGATGGTTCATGCATAGAATCATCTATCAGTTTTCATTTCCTAAAGAATACCTAATGATATAATGTAGTATGTATTTAATCGAGAGGTCATTGAACGTTATTAAATATGAATGACTATTAAACTCCAAAATGTGTCATTGTTAAATAACAATTTGAATTATTGTTGTTTCCAAAGCTCAATTGATTCAAAATCATTTTGAATGATCGTCATCAGCAGGTCATGGGATAGTTAGAGAATGGTATACCTATGTACTAAAATATTATCAGAAAAGGATTTAGGAACCGTTTTAAGGAAAATAGCACAACATATTTGAGATAAAAATTAAAGATAACGACTTCGTATTCATTATGGCTCTCATGATAGAGACTTATTTTCAAACTCATATTTGTTTAATATCCAAGATAATACCTAATGAACATTTGATGGCGATAGTTTGCATTCTTTATTGAATAATCAATCAAGATTATTGATAAATCTTCATCCCATCTAGCGGAATTTAGTTTTGTTTGATATCAGAATTATATTCAGGTGGTCAACAAATGTTTTCGAAATAATTTCATGGATTGCGAAATTTACTCATAACGAACTATAATATACAGGGTGTTTCATAATTGAATGCTGATCCTAAAGGGCGATGATCGAGGCGATGATCCTTGGATGATCTTGAGGAGAGTAGTTCATATCAACATATGTCCTGAACCTCTTAGTTTCTGAGCTACAGGGTGTTGAAATCAGAAGCGTACAGCGTTTTTTTAAACAAAACATTCAATATCAGGTCTACGAGGACATCACTGGAAAAAGTAAAAGTTTGATTTTCGTCCCAAAACAAAATGTGTTCCCACTTATAGTGGGTGTCTACTGAATTACCAAAAACAATATCCAAGAACTGAAGGGACAAAATTCTTTGGTTTTTATTTTTTTACGCGAAAACGGTACGTTGTATGAAAGTAAGTCTAGGAACCAAATTTGCTCCAGAAAGAATTGAAAAAAAATCTGGTTCTCAGAAAAATCAGTGGCGTACTATTTTTTCCTTCAAGAATTGTCAGTTCAAACCCCGTACGGACGTTACTGGTGAGAATTTTTAAATATCTTTCACGTAAAAAAATGCTCCTTAATAATGGAAAGGTGTATCCAAAATATCATAACAATATCAAAGAGTGATAAAAAATTATGATGAAAAACTCATTTTTTTCTTGGAATTTCACCCCTGTAGCTCAATAACTAAGAGGTTCAGGATATAATATGTTGATATGAACTTTTTTCTTTGAAATCATCCAAGGATTATCGCCCATAAGGGTCAGCATTCAATTATGAAACACTCTGTATATATATCCATGGAAAATTTTTCAAGAAAATCATTCACATTAATATCAAGATTTGGAATATTCTACATCACATGTCTTCAAATGGAATTCCTTATTTCAGTCAGCAGCATCCTTGGTATACAGGATATGTCATGACGAGCTTACACTATATCTCTATATTAAGAATCAGTCGAGATAAATCCATGAACATATGCATGAATATATTGTAGAATACGCTCTCTTGATTTGATATATTTTTAGCAATGCAGTGTTGCCGCTTCTATCAAAAAGTAGCAGAAACTTTGTTATTTCACATAGGGAACCCTGTATTTTATTGCATTTTTAGATTCTCCCTGAAGAGCTGATTTCATCAATACATCACACTGCGGGTCTTCCGGAAATGATTACAGAAATCTAGGGTGTTCAAAATGTAGATTTTTCAATTTCAGGAATTGTTTGTGTCGAAACCATTCATTATCGGCCAAAACGGCTCACATGTCTCTTTCTCTAATTTTGATTTACTATTTACTGATATTCAATCGGAACAGATACAGGTTGATCAGAATTCTGAATCTTGAACCACCCTGTTGTTCCGATTAAATATCAGTAAATAGTGAACCAAAAGTAATGAATAGTTCCGACGCGAAAAAAATCCTAAAGTTGAGAAATCTCGATTTGGAACACCCTATATCTCTGTAATCTCTTTGGATAGACCCCAAGTGTGATACATCGATAAAATCAGCTTTTCAGGGAGAATCTTGAAATGCGATAGAATACAGGGTGTTTCATTTGAAATATCAATGTTGCTACTACTTTATAGTAGAGGCGGCAACACTGCATTGTCGAAAATATTTTGAATGAAGAGATCGTATCCTAAAATATAAGCATGCACATTTGCATGGATTTTTTCTGACTGAATCACGATATAAAGACAGTGTATTAGCTCGTCGTGACATACAGGGTGTAAATTTGAAAACTTCCAATGCGAATATCTCGCGAAAGGAATAAGTTAAAAAAACGCCGTTTGGCGAAAATGCTAAAGAGTTAAGGGTAACTAGAACCACCATATTTCGGTCAAGGGATGAGTCACCCCGTCGGCGCGACACACCCCAACTTTGAAATGTCAAATGACACTACCTCTTTTGTGATGCCTCAAATGAACAGTCTCAGTCAGTAGTATTCACCTGTACAAGACTCTTTTTCCACTCACTACATCAGGGTGTACGAAAAATATAAAGTCGAATAAAATAAAATGAATTGTGTTAAAAGGATATTTTATTTGATGTTCAAAATGCATTCCATTCTGTTGTAAGCAATAGTATAATCGATGTTCAAATGCCATTCTAACATTTTGGAACACATCTCTTGGAATATATCGGCATTCTGAATTTTATTTTATTCGACTTTATGTTTTCCGTTCACCCTGTAGTGGGTGGAAAATAAGGTGAATACTACTGACTGATACCGTTCATTTGAGGTATCACAAATGAGGTAGTGCCATTTGACATTTCAAAGATGGAGTGTGTCGCGCCGACGGGGTGACTCATCCCTTTACTGAAGTATACGGTGGTTCTAGTTCCCCCTTACTCTGTAGCATTTGGGCCAAACGGCGTTTTCCTAACTTTTTTATTTAGCGAGATATTCGCATTGAAAGTTTTCAAATTTAGACCCTCGACTTAATATTTTTCGTACACCCTATAGTGGGTGGAAAAAAAGTCTTGTACAGGTGAATACTACTGACTGAGACCGTTCATTTGAGGTATCACAAAAGAGGTAGTGCCATTTGACATTTCAAAGTTGGGGTGTGTTGCGCTGACAGGGTGACTCATCCCTTCACTGAAATATGGTGGTTCTAGTTCTTCCTAACACTTTAGCATTTGTGCCAAGCGGCGTTTTTCTAACTTTTTTATTTCGCGAGATATTCGCATTGAAAGTTTTCATATTTACACCCTGTATACCCTGTCAAGAGTCAAGAGAAGATGAAATTCACTCTTCATTCGGAATCATAAATTATACATAGATAATTATATCAACTTGGATTTCACGAATGAACAATAGAAACCATTTCATTCTGTTGCATCATAGAGATTCATTTCTCGAAAAACGAGAATGCCAAATTTTTCGTATGAATGGTTTTGTGTGTCGATAATACACAGTGAACAATTTCCGGGTGTAATTTCAATCGAGTGAATTTCAGAAATAACTCCGATTGAATTAACACTTGATTCGCAATAATATTATATCAATTTTATTAAAAATTTGATAATACCGTGTACAGTGGAGTCAACTCACAGTTTTATAGTGAAAAATCACACAAATGTGGTAATTTAGAGGGGTTCTGAAATATCCATTCAAAAGAAACACCAAAAGGATGAAAAGTAATTACTTTCGATAGTGGTATTATTCAATTCAACGCAAAAAATACACTTATTATATGAAATTAACACCTAGTAATCACGGATAAATCGAAACCGTGCATGAATCATGAGATTTGGGGCTAATATAATTCACTCATCGTCTTGCATTCTCCTATGTGAATGAATAATGTTGCTGATTTTGAATTGACCCCCTGAAAAACCTAAACTCATTGAAGAATGGATGAAAATTGTGTAGCTGTATATCATCAACCACGAATTGTGGTATCCAGATTGATAGGTGACAATAAGAATGGATGATTTCGTGAAAATAATGCATTAAATTAATATTAAGTTGATTCATCAATAATTATATATGATGATTTTGAGATTGCGAAGCCATATAAAGTACTTATATGTCGAACCAGAGTCAAACATATAATTGAATATCAAAGTGTACATTTTGTGCACAGAAGAATATTGAGTAAATATCTTGATAGATGGCGACACTAGCGCTCCTTCGACGCTCGTCTCTCGACCGCCTTCAAATAGTATCAGCTCCGACATGTTTTGTGATGTCTCAACTCTCCCTACAATGGATCATTTCATACACTGAATACCAATGTTAGTATATCAGAGTCGTGTTATTCAACACTCAGATGCTGACAAGAAAACACCGCTTCTCAGTGTGATAACACTCAATGAGTGGGTTTTCACAACAGGAAACATAATATTATCAGTTGAAGCAAAAATACAACAGATACAGTGTCAAAATAATCACCATATTGTACACCATTTTAGTGTTGAATAACACGAACCGATCAAATTGGCACTATATAGGTACTCTAGAGTAGTTCTTGACTGTATGTAAGAACGAATGACACTCTATATGATGGTGTTAAAAATATCAGTGTTGATTCTCACCAAAATAATCAGGACCTCAGGGGACACCCAAGGGTGTTAGCTGGTGTGACCTGGTGTTATTTTTGTTTCACTGTGTACTATGCAAATCGACAACTTCGGTATTTCTCTTAACCAATAACCATCGCGTAGAGGTGTTGTCACAAAATGTTCAGCAGTATAGCTTTGAAGGGCAAATCTTATTACTTTTCGTAAGTTTGATCAATTACTTGTGAAATTCAGTGTGACATGGTTCGTGAGTCCCAATTTATATCGTTATATTTTTGTTTCACAGTTCGAATTCATACGTAACTATACCTGGTCGATGAAAAGATAAGTCTGCGTTTCAAACAATCGGAACTATTTTTTTTAGGAATAACAAAATCTTTGTTCTAATATTTCAATATCCTAACTACGGCAGGTGAAATCGTAAATAGTATACCTAGCATCAATATGGAGTTTTCAACCATACCGTATTCTGCCGATCGCTGGCTCTTAGACTATTATTGTTTCGCTGGCTCTTAGACCACCTATATACACCATTACTGTTGAAAGTAAGACGTGAAATAATAGTTTTATTCAGCGTACTTTTATTCATGAAATAACGGGTTAAATGATAATCTCAATAACGGTTATACATGAAAGCACCTTGCTTGCGATATATAATATTTTTATGTTTACAGATGCCGAGACGCAACAGGTTCAATCCTCATAAATGGAAAGCAAAGGAATCTCAAACATTTTTTGAAGATGTCTCGGTATATTATGCAAGAAGACGTGATCCAACCGATGTTGACAGTCGAAGAAGCTATGCTTGTGGCGGCGAATTTGAAGTTGGAAAAATATATGCCGGAAGCTGAGAAATTGAAAGTGGTGAGTATATACCAGGTGGCCCCGAAAACCGTATACCTCTGTTCCAAGATACGTAGGAACTACGACGAGTCTGAACTGACATCGTAAAAAACATTTTTCACGAACATTCGCCTAATTTACAGTTGCAACTGTAAATTAGCATAAATAGTATTATTGGTATTGGTAGGTTGGATGGTGACAGATGCGCTGCGACCTAATTAGATTTATTGTGCCCCATCTGCTTCTGCTATGTCAAGGGTTTTTTGTTCATAGCAGCCCTTCAAGATTCAATTCCTTCAGGAATTTGAGGATTTTGAGGGAATCTAGTTGTGGTATTTCTTCCACAGTCAGCTAGTATTTTTTTTATCGCTTGGAGCGCACGAAAGGGAATCCCTATAATGTTCAAAGAACATCGTGCGTTCCTAGGGAGGATTGGGACAGGAGGTAGGTATTGGAATTTTTTTTGAACTTCTGGAGATTATATGTTGTTGGGAATACTTCCACAGGCAATGAATTCCAGAGCCTAGCCGTTCTATGGATGAAAGAGTCTTGATAAAGTGCTATTTGACATCTTTCGAGGTTGACAAAGAAAGGATGTGCTGACTGGGCTTGTCTAGTTCGCCTGATTGGTATTGTTAGTGAAGGGATGATAGCAGAGATTTCCGAAGAACATTTCCCGTGGAAGTATCGATAGAAAAGTGAAAGGTCGCCGACCTTTCTACGGTGTTCCAATGATGTCGAAGAGTGAGTGAGTGTGGCGTCACCCATCAGGCGACTGGCTCTTCTCTGGATGGAATCTAAGAGCATCAGCGTATGTTTTGGTGCTGAACCCCATATGTGGGAACAGTATTCTAGAACAGGCCGTATCTGCGCTGAGGTGTAAAGTAGCTTTTCGCACGGAACAAGAATCCGAGTTTTCGTGAAGCAGCTTTTGCGATGGATCTGACATGATTATTCCATGAAAGAGTGTTGCTGATGGAAATACCGAGCATGTTCCCAGTATGTTCAATCTTTTGTGATTTGTGTATCTGGTTCTTCCTTACAGAATCTGCAGGTGTCGTCCTTCTGTAAGCCTAGCTCTCTTTGGTGTTCTTTGAGTCTGCAATGCCCTGCTTGAAATCTCGTTATTCCTTTGAGACTTCCTTTGCTGAGGTGTATCAGTGTCTTAGATCTTTCTCAGTTGAAATTTCCGAGGAGATCTTCAGCCTTCCGAAAAAAAAAATCATTCTTATCAGTTATACAGGGTGTCCGGAAATTATGCGCAAAAAATAAAGGGGTTGATTCTGCATGAGAAAATATGAAATTCATTTCATATATACGTGGGTCCGAAATGCATTGTTTTCAAGATTCAGTGTGTTAAACTTTTTTGAAAAAATCGGTTTTTTATGAATATTTTGGATATCCTTCCACCGATTCTCTTGAAATTTGGCAATGATATTCCTTGTTATAAGGGGCTGATTTAGCCATAATTAAATTGGCATTGTGAAATCCAGTGGCGTTCCGGGGGCACCCTACCGAATATTATTGTCAATAAAATGTGCGCCACTGATTTTTTTTCAGAATCTATACCATCATATCCTGATGATTAACTAAAAATACAACATTTTGGTCTCCTGAATTGTTTTGCTATTTTGCTGCATTTCCGTGGAAAAAAATAACTACCAATTCATTGTATAAATTTGTGCAGAACATTGCTTCAAAAACAGGGGTGAAATTTGATGTGTGATCCATGCCCATAGACGTAGATTGAGATTGAAGATTAATTTTCTTCAAATATTTTATAATACATGTTTGACACACTTTGTATTATCGAAAACTGCGCCTTCCTGGACCGAGAATACATATAGTTCTCAATATGCAGAGTGTAGAGTGTGTCAAACATGTATATCAAGAAATATTTGAAGAAAATGAATCTTCATACTCATTCTATGTCCATGGACATTGATCACGCATTTATTCTCACCCCAGTTTTTGTAGGAATTGTTCGGCACAAATTTATGCAATAAATTGGTATTTATTTTTGTCCATGGATATAAAGCAAATTATCAAAATAATTCAGGAGACCAAAATGTTGTACTTTTAGTTAGTCAATAGATTATAAAGATACAGAATATGAAAAAATCAGTGGCGCACATTTTATTGACGATAATATTCGGTAGGTTGCCCCCCGGTACGCCACTGGGTTTCTTAATTCCAATTGAATTATGGGTATATCATGACATAAAATATGATTACCAATTTCAAGAAAATCAGTGAAAGGACATTTGAGATATTCATAAAAAACCGATCTTTTTTTAATGTTTCAACCCATGTTGAAAACTATGAGTTTCCGGACCCACGTACATATAAAATGAATTTCTTATTTCATCATGTAGAATCGCCCCCTTGATTTTTTGCGCATAATTTCCGGAATGGGAATTATATTTCTCATAATAAACAGGTTATATGACTTCACTCGAATAAATTCATTTCGGATATCAAATCCTCATGCATCAGTAACCTGAAGTCCGGTTATTCTTTCAGCCATTTAAAAAAAAAATCATTTTTATTGTATGAATTTTTCAAAAAAACATTCACAACACTCAATTATTCGTTGATAAAATGCACAATCTGAAGAAAAATATATATTTCCGACATAGAGGCTATGATTAAAAATATTTCGAAATTGTTTCCAGAAAAGTCATCAAGCTTCATAAAAAAAACTATAAGAAATATTCGTTCGAACAGGAAAATAACGACACCGCTGCAATTTTACACTATCCTATAGAATATATTCATCTGGAATTCTTGTGGTCTCACATTGCTCTGAAAATTAACTGAAAGATTGGGCTAGCCAACTGTTGAAACCGATTAGAAATTGATTATGGGATCCATGAGAAGTTCGTTTTTAAATTGTGCCTATATTTTGGACCACTTTACGTTCATTTCGAAACATTTTGATGACTTATCATAACAAACATCTGAAAATTGAATCCAGAATGACTAATTCCTTGTAATTTCGCAAAATTGAAGTTCTGAAGTGAAAACTTTCGATATAAAAATGAATTCGTTTTAGGTCCTATCTCATGACACAATCATCGGAGGTGATATCGTGCGTATTGTTTTAATGTAATTCTAATTGTTTGTTGTGATTTGATTGTTACTTACACCTGTATATGGGAAATACTCAGGAGAACATGGAAATCATCGTGTCAGTTAAATTGAAGGAATCTCAATTAATTGCCTAGAAACTCACCAAGGTTAATCGACAACAAGGTCCAATTAATCATTACATAATATACAGGGTGAGTCAGTTTTTTGGAGCAGGACTTCAACGGCTCAAAGAAGATACCATTTTGAGATGAAAAACTCATGTAAACATATTATTATGCATAGGAGCTTCTTTTCCGGTATAACGGAGATGTGATATTTTTTAATATTTTTTGTGTTGTTCAAGTTTTGCTATTGAGTTCCATCAACTCATTTTATGTATGAGCTTCTGAACCTTCCAGGTCTTCAAATCAATTATCGAGAAATGTCACATAGAGTGTGTTCGAAAAATTAAGTTTCATCACAAGTACATTATTTCTTGCATTCATCACGAAATCCATACAGTTTTCGAAAGACCTTCAGGAGAGGAAAAAGTATTCATATAGAACAGAAAAAAAACTGAATTATCATTGTTTCATTGGGAGCAGAGGCAGTAAGCAAGAAAGATCAAGGGAGTTAAATTGGGTAGAACCTTCATAAGTATATCACCCTGTAATTATTGAAAATCTGAGCAAGCATAAAAAACCTGACCAGAAAAATTCCATTAGCTTATTCCTTAAGTCAATCCTAGAGACCTGATCAGCTCATTATCATTGTTCATAAGAAAGAGCTAAGTAATAGATATGGTTGACGAATATGTTTTGATGTTTTTTATCAAAGATTATCTACTAATTCAAAATAATGGAACAAGCAGGATGATTCATCCTCAAAATGTGTTCCTATGAAAATACACTTCCAGTCTATTTTATTTCTTCTATAATTATATGTGAACGTCAATTAAAGAATTATAATTATTGTGAACAAAAGGATTGCTAACATGCATGAATATCAGTTTATCTGAGCTATTTCGTTGCTTGAAAGTGAAGCAATTAATAATATCCCCTGAAGAATTCATGTCTGAAATATGATTATTATATTCCTCTATAATTTAACCTAAAAATGAATGCTTTCATCATCAAAGATATCAAGATACAACCTAATCTTTTTAATTTTCGTGAGCAAATATTTGGATATCTATCTCTAGCGAAAAGATTGAAACGATGAATAACTATTCATTATGATAAGGATTATTTTCAGTACAAAAATCTGATTCAAGAAAACTATATTAAAAAAAATTAACTACCGTGGCCGCCATGTTGAAATTTTTTACAGTTACTTCATGATGAATTCTCAATGAGTGAACAAACAGTTATTCTGATGAACATCAAAACATGTCAGAATTTTTACCATCTGTTATCCATCAATTCAAGAACATATCATGTGATACTGGGCTGGAAGACTTCGGTCAATGGCCTTTTGGGGTATATCCCTAATAAAGATGTTCTCTCTCTCTCTCTCATGTGATACTATCACATATTACTAGTGTTGAGACATTTATTTAGTTTTCTTATGTTATGATTAGTAGCTGTTCTTGATTCAAGTAATCTATCTGATTGAATAAATAAAAAAGTTCCATATTATGGTCCTTGAAATTTGATCCCTGGATTCATTTTGTGTACTCCAAAAGATGACGAAACCGTTGTAAACAATTTCTTTTGTCTGTGATTTGAGTGGAATTATATAGTAGACCACATCACGGAACGTATATGAACATTGTTTTCCCACTTTCAAAGATTTGTTTTTCAAGATAATGAAGAGCAGACATTTGAGCTTGAAATCAAATTTTTTCCTAATGCAATTAGTTGAAAAATTGTAGAATTCACGAAATCATGCGAGAACATGATAATTCACTTATTTTGATCGATCTCTATATCATCGTTATCCTAATTAAG